TCTGTCCCACAACCCCACTCTCCCTCCCTCCTCACCACCCCTTCCTCGTCCGCACTCCCCCTTCCTCCCCCCTCCTTCCTCCCATCCTCCCCTCATTACTCCTCCTTCCTCTTCCTCCGCCCCCTCCTCCTCCTCCTCATCCTCCTCCTCTTCGCCTCCTCCTCCTCATACATTCCTCCCCCCCATCGTTCCGCCTCATCCTCTTCCTCACATCCTCCTCCTTCCTCATCCTCTTCATCCTCCTCATCCTCCTTTCCTCCTCCTCCTCCTCTCCTCCTTCTCCCTTCCACCTCCTAGTCCTCCTCCCATCGTCCTCCCCTCCTCTCCTCCTCCTCCTCCCTTCCCTTCCTCCCCTCCTCTCTCTCCCCCCCCCTCCTCTTCAGCTCGGGATGCCCCGCCTCAAGCATCAGTGCGGCAAGTGCCTCCTACTCTTCCTCCTCCCGCCTTCCTCCTCCTCCTCTCCGCCTCCTCCTCCTCCTCCTCAGCCTCCTCCAACTCCTCCTCCTCATCCTCCTCCTCCTCCCCTCCTCCTCTTCTATTCTTCCTCCTCCTCATCCTCCTCCTCTCCCCCACCCCCCCCCTTATTTTCCTCCCCTCCTTCCTCTCCCCCTACTCCTCCTCGCCCTCCTCCGCCTCCGCCTCCTCTCCTTCTCTCCTCCTCCTCTTTCCATCACTCCTTCGCGCCCTCCTCCTCGTCGTCATCCTTTTCTTTTTCTCGCCCCCGACGCAGCCTCCCCCCCCCCCCGTCCCGCCCTCTCCGTCTCCACCCCATCCGCTCCCCCCGCACGCGGGCCGCGGTTTTGCGCCAGCAAGCGATTTGCAGCGCGGCATTGTTTGACATGGACAATCATGGCGGCAGGGGGGTAGCGAGGGAACGGGGCGGAAGGGTGACAACTTGCCTGTGAGACGGGCGGCGCAGCCCGCATCGCCCGCCAGGAGATCCTGCCACCCCTGTGAGCGCCCGTCCTTCTCGCTGTTCCAGGAGGCCAGGCCCGCGCGCTGTGCGAGCTGCCGCCCTGCACCGAAGACCCGTGCTGCTGCGGTTGGTTTGAAGACGTGCGCCATCCGCCTTCGCACACCCTCCCCCACCCCTCCCTCCCTCGCCCCCGCTCCCCTCATCCTCCGTCCCACCCCTCATTCGCTCCCTCCTTCCCCCTCCATCCCACCCCCTCTCTTTCCTTATGCCCCCCTCCTGTTGGCATGCTTCGCAAGAGTTGCTGGCTGTGAGATGGGCTGGCGGGGATACGCGAAGCGTAGCGAATTTCTCTGGGGAGCCTGAAGAGCCCGATGCGACTAATTGCGATGGTATCAGACGCGCACCTTCAGCGCACCTTCAAAACGTAAGGCCTACTGGCTTTGTTTGTACACTGCGTGCCATGGGCGTACACTCAGCGTGCCTGCGCACTGCATCACGCGCGTGCCTTCGGTGCACATGCGCGCGCCAGGTCTCGGGTGCATTGTGTTTGGATCATGCAGCGCATACCTTCCGCCAGTCGCCAGTCGCCGCGGCTGGACTTCGCATCGAAATTTCCTCGAGACTCATGGAGCACGCTCGAACAGACGCGCCCCCCAGTGGCGGGCCGCAGGCACCACTGGGGGCGGGGGGGCGTTCTCGAGAGCACGCGATGCTAGATGGGCTCTGGATATGGGCCGTGGCCCCCTCCCCGCCCCCACCCCCCGCCCCCCTCGCCCCCTCGCCTCGCTGCGGGGAGGCCCCCGCGACGCGAGATGGGCGAATGCGATGGAGATGGCGAGGGCGAGGATTGAGGGAAGGCGTGTGTCCGCTTGGGCGATGTGGTTTTCTCCCCATTTCCTAAGATGGGGTTCTTGTTATTACTTGGACGCCTCCTACTCCTCCTCCTTCTTCCTCCTCCTCTTTTCTCGTCCCCTCCTGTCGGACATACTCAGACTTGCTCATACACAGACTTACTCATACTCAGACTTACTCATACTCAGACCTACTCATACTCAGACTTACTCACACTCAGACATACTCATATACAGATTTACTCATACACAGACTTACTCATACACAGTATTAGTCATACCCAGACGTACACATACACAGACTTACACATACACAGACTTACTCATACTCAGCACCCCTAAGGGGAGCCGCCAGGGGTGGTTGCACGGGCTCGTTCGCGGCCATTTTGTGGGGATGACTCAGGCGGTTTACCTGTTTCTGTGCCCAACATCATTCGCTTTCGGGGCAGATTTGGAGGATGTCTCGAGCGAGGCGCTCATTTCAGCACCCCTAAGGGGAGCCGCCACGGGTGGTTGCACGGGCTCGTTCGCGGCCATTTTGTGGGAATGTCTCAGGCGGTTTACTTGTTTCTGTGCCCAACATCCTTCGCTTTCGGAGCAGATTTGGAGGATGTCCCGAGCGGGGCGCTCATTTCAGCACCCCTAAGGGGGGCCGCCAGGGGTGGTTGCACGGGCTCGTTCGCGGCCATTGTGTGGGGGTGTCTCAGGCGATTTGCTTGTTTTTGTGCCCAACATCCTTCGCTTCCGGAGCAGATTTGGAGGATGTCTCGAGCGAGGCGCTCATTTCAGCACCCCTTAGCCGCCAGGGGTGGTTGCACGGGCTCGTTCGCGGCCATTCTGTGGGGATGTATCAGGCGGTTCGCCTGTTTCTGTGCCCATCATCCTTCGCTTTCGGAGCAGATTTGGAGGATGTCTCGAGCGAGGCGCTCATTTCAGCACCCCTAAGGTGAGCCGCCAGGGGTGGTTGCACGGGCTCGTTCGCGGTCGTTTTGTGGGGATGTCTCAGGCGGTTTGCTTGTTTCTGTGCCCAACATCCTTCGCTTTCGGAGCAGATTTGGAGGATGTCTCGAGCGAGGCGCTCATTTTCACCCCCCCAGGTGGGCCAGATTTTGAGGCTGTCTCGATCGGTTTGCTAGTTTTGGTGGCCAGGCTCGTGGGCGCAGGTTCTTCTCAGGGTGCCACAGGAGGCTCCAACAGGCTCCAGGAGGCTCCAGGAGACCACATGAGGTCCCAGGAGGCATCAGGAGGCCACAGAAAGATTCAAGAGGCCACAGGATGTCCCAAGAGGCGCCAGGAGGCCCCATGAAGCTCCAGAAGGCTTCAGGAAACCACAGGAGACCCCAGGAGACAACAGGAAGCGCCAGGAGGCCTCGGAAGGCAACAGGAGGCCCCGAGAGGCCCCAGAAGCAGGAGGCCTCAGAAGGCAACAGGAGTGGCTCCAATCCCATGTGTTTTACGTATGCTCCTATCGAAAGGGCCTCACCTGGAGCACGATTCTTTGATGTTCTACGCATGTTTCTATAGATGGTCCTTCTCCTGTGTACACAATCCTAAATGTTTTACTCATGTTCCTATGTGTTGGGCCTCTCCTGGGGCACGAGTCCTTTGTGTTTTACGCGTGTTCCTATAGATTGCCCTTCTCCTGTGGCTCTAATCCGTAATGTTTTATGCACGTCTGTTGCTATAGATTGCGCCTCCCCTGGGGCACGAAACCTTCCTAGGAGGTCCCAGGAGGTCCCAAGAGACTCCTGGAGACCCCAGGAAGCCCCAGTAGGTTTCAGGAGGCCCCAGGAGGCCCCAGGCTCATGCACAGAGACGCGCTCGTACTACTGAGGCTCATTCACACTCCAATTCATTCGCAGTTAGATTGATGTCCAGACCGTCACAACTGAAGCCCGTTAATATTCGAAAGCTCTTGCGCCTAGACATTCACGGCGGACAGGTCCATGCGAGTAGATGCACATATGGGGAGCTCCACGCAGTGAATATTTTTTCTTCAGGCGTGTGTCCGCTTGGGCCCGCATATCTCCCCTGTTCCTCCTTCGTCCCGCCTGCTTGCACATCCTCCTTGTGGAGGGGGGGGGGGGGGGAGAGGACGAGGCGGAGGAGGAGGGAGAGAAAGCGCTCCTCGTGATTTGAGTCGTTTGGGGATTCTCGTCCTGATGTGAGTCGTTCGGGCCCTTCTTCCTGGTGTGAGTCGTTCGGGCTCTTCGTCCTGGTGTGAGTCGTTTGGGCTTCTCGTGGTGTGGGTTGTTCGGGCCCCTCATCCTGGTGTGAGTCGTTCGGGCCCCTCCTCCTGGTGTGACTCGTTCGGGCTCCTCGTGGTGTGACCCGTTCGGGCTCCTCGTGGTGTGAGTCGTTCGGGGCCCGCGTCGTGGTGTGAGTCGTTCGGGCTCCTCGTGGTGTGAGTCGTTCGGGCGCCTCGTCCTGGTGTGAGTCGTTCGGGCCCCTCCTTGTGGTGTGAGTCGTTCGGGCTCTTCGTGGTGTGACCCCTCGTCCTGGTGTGGGTCGTTCGGGCTCCTCGTGGGGCCTCTTGGGGACCTCGTGGGGCCTCTTGGGGCCTCTCGGGGGCCTCTTGGGGGGCTCTTGGGGGCCTCTTGGGGGCCGCTTGGGGCCGCTTGGGGCCTCTTGGGGGCTCCTTGGGGGCCTCTTGGGGGCCTCTTGGGGGCTTCTTGGGGGCCTCTTGGGGCCTCTTGGGGGCCTCCTGGGGGCTTCTTGGGGCCATCTTGGGGCCTCTTGCGGCCTCCTCAGAAGCGCAAATAAGCGCTGACCCCTGAGAAGGACAAAATGAGGCCAACACCTTCGTAACATCAATGATTTTGCTAAGAAGGACGATGAGCGCGGCCCCCTCAGAAGGCCAAAATGGGGCCATCACCATAGTAAATGGGACTACCGATCCAGGTCCAGGGGGAGGGGGTAGGGGGAGGGGTAAACCCTTCCCCGAAGGGGAAGAAGGGGGGTTGAGGACAGAGAGAGCTCTCTAAACCACTCACGCCCAAAGGGCTGGTGGGATTCCAACATATCAAACGACGGTTGGGAACCAGGTTTTTCAGGAGGATCTGGTGATTGCCTTAGCGGTCGCACCGCTGGGCCCTGACATGGGAGAAGGCTTGGGTGGAAAGAAGGGGGAGCATAGTTGTGTTGGCTCGAACAGTTGCGAGCGGCTCTGCCGCGTATCTCGGCACCTCTCGCGTTGTCATTATGATTGCCCTTATATCGCGCCAGGAAGCGCCATGGCGCTGGCTGCTGTTCGCGAGACATGCGAACACATGGCGGCGACGATGCAGTCAACGGGCCAGGTCGACGCGCAGCAAGCCAAGAACCTCTTGCTCTCGAGGCTTGCGCCGATCCAGGCAATCACCATGGCTGATGCCACTGCCATCTTGAACGTCCTGAACACGAGCCAATTCGGCGGCCCAGAGCGCGTCCAAATCGGTGCGATTGTGAACATGAAGGTGTCGGGGCTCTCGCACGCCCCGCGCACGGCGGCGAGGCAGAACACTCAATATTGCTTGTTTTTTCACAGCTACATGACCCGCACCATGTGGGGCGCATTCAGAGATCAGGTTACGCCGCGGGGCCACGCCCAGTCCATGATCCTGAACCGCATGGGCGACATTGGCCCCGTGAACCCGAGCGAGCTGACGCTCGTTCACATATGGGCCGTGTTCATGGTTGCGAAGCACCCCGAGGGTGCTCAGATCAAGCCAGACCCGATGGAAGCCCTCCATCGCAAGAACCAGCTCAAAGATGCAATTGCCCTCTATCGCAGGCGCGTGCCGAGGGCCCCGCACCACGGCGTGGTCGCCGACTACCCCGCGGACCCCGACAACTTGCAGAGCACTCACCCTGCCGTGTACAATGCCGCATTCTCAGTGACCTCACCGCCGTGCCCGTGCCCCATGCACGAAGGGAAGATTACCGCGGCGAGGGTTGCGATGCCGTGCAGGCGCAGCAGTTCGTTGGTTTCCACCCCTGCAGTCGTCAGGCAGCCGCGCGGGGCGAGGCAGCTCGACGCCGCGGCGCAGCAGATGTTCGCGTTCGATCGTGGCGACGCGGGTTCAATCCCAGGCCTGCACATCTATGGGCATCCCAGGCCGACGCCGATGGGGTCGTGGATGCCCGCGGTGCAGCACATGCTCCCCGCGCCGCCAACGAGCCCGAGCGGCGGCGTCGGCGGCGGGGGCCCAGACGGTTTGCCGCCAGCGGCGGCAGCTTCGCCGACGGGCGCCTCTGCGCCAGCGGCGGCAGCCTCGCCGACGGGCGCCTCTGCGCCAGCAACGGCGGCCGCGCCGACGGGCGGAGGCGCGCTTTCAAGCAGACGGGGGGGGTGATGGTGGGGGTTGGGAGGATGCGGAGGGCGAGAAGGGCGAGGAGGGTGGGGAGAGAGGCTGAGGAGGAGGGCGGGGGGGAGGATGTCGGTGAGGATGGGAGAGGATGACCCCCTTGCCCTCCTCATAGGGCGACGAAATCTATACATATCCACTGCTCCCTGGCCAGGCCCATCCTCAACCCCGCAGCGGTGCATGCGCCGCGCCCTCCTGGCTTGGCCAGGAGGGCGCATGCACAGCTCCTGGGTTCAAGATGGGCATGGTCAGGGAGCAGTGGATATGTATAGATTTCGTCGCCCAATCCTCAGGCGCGGGGGCGGCGGCGGCTGCGGGGGCGCCTGTGGCATCCGTGGACGAGATGCTCGAGCACTTCGGCGACGTGATCGGAAATGGCAAGGGCAAACCCCCCATGAAGGCGGCAGCAACCAAAAAGACCCCTATGAAGGCTATGAAGGCGAAGACCCCGATGAAGACGAAAAAGGTGATAAGCAAAACGACCCCGTCTCCAATGAAGGCGAACAAATCGAAGCCATCCCCCGTGATCGTAGCCTCGGCGTCTGCCTTGCGCTTCCCTGGCGTGCCGACCAAGCCCGTGGCGCCCCTCGTTTTTAGCGGGTACAAAATACCACAGCCTTCGGCAGTGCCCGACGCCCTGTTTACACATAACAATGTAAGGTATATATGGCACGCGCACTTGGCGCATGGAAAGTACGTGGCAGGGCACGGGAGGGATCTCTAGCCACCGCCCCCAATGTCGGCGCACCCATCGCGCGGATCATGCCTCGTAAGAGCTCGCGGATGTCCAGGCACTGTGGGCCGTGTCAACGGCCATGCGGTTCTACACGGCGGTTCCAGCCATGAAGTGGCGTGTTCTGCGCAACGGCCAGAGGGTCGACTCCGCCTTCAGCTGGAAAATCGATGCCAGGAAATCGTGGAGGGCCCTGGTCCAGCATGTGAAGGACGGCAAGTGATGGCCCAGTCAGAATGACAGGAGGCGGGGATGCTGCGGTGACATTTCCCTGCAATATATACGTTCGATTTGGTTCCTCCCAGATGCATGGCGTGATGTAGGGCGAGCTGTTGGCCCCTCTCTGTTAGGTATTCGAGGTTTTCCTAACCCGAGGACTGTCGATTGCAATGGGTGCCCGCACAATCAGATTGCAGCTCAGGCGGCTCTGCCCCCACCATGTCCCATCGACGATAGTCGCGCGGCAGGCGCGCGTCTAACTACACATGGCGAGAAAAACTCATCGCCTGCCTGCTTCGCCCACCCCTTCCCCTTCCCTCCTCATCCTCATCCTCCCTCCATCCTTCTCGCCTCCGTCTTCCTCTCCTCCCTCCCCCTCCTCCTCCTCCTGCCTCTCTCTCTCTCTCTCTCTCTCTCTCTCTCTCTCTCTTTCCCTCTCTCTCTATATATATACACACCTCTCTCTCTCTATATATATATATATCTTCCTCACACCCTCCCTCTCTCTATATGTATCTTCTCTCTCCTCTGTATGTCTATATTTCTCCCCCCTCCCTCTCTCTCTCTCTCTCTCTCGCTCTCTCTCTCTCTCTCTCTCTCTCTTCTTTTTCTCTCTCTCTCTCTCTCTCTCTCTCTCTCTCTCTCTCTCTCTCTCTCTCTCTCTCTCTCTCTCCCTCTCTCTCTCTCTCTCTCTCTCTCTCTCTCTCTCTCTCTCTCTCTCTCTCTCTCTCTCTCTCTCTCTCTCTCTCTCTCTTTCTCTATGCTCCTTCAATCTACCACGTCGCCGCTCGCCGCCGCGGTGTGACGGGCGTCATCGCCCCCTCTTCCAAGTGTAATTCGGGGTCGGATGGGCGCGATCCCACTTCGCTCGCGCTCAGCTGCGGGCGCTGTCCGTGCTCAGCGAGGCGCGGGGGGCGAAGCTGGAGCCCGACGTCATTTGCACTACAATTCTGGCCACAGCGCGCGCGAGGGCACCGTTCCAAACAAAGCCCCAGATGCTGCCTGGAGAGCCTCCGAGGCCCATCAGAAGCACCATGGGGGGCCAAGGCGCGCCCAAGATGGCCCCAATGCGGCCCCACGACGGCCCGAGAGGGCCCCAATGCAGCCCCAGAGGCCTCCGATATAGCCAGGGCGTCCCCAAGTCGAGCCCAAGCAGAGCAAGCCAACCAGCCCCTCGAGAGCCCTATGGCGCCAATAGGCATGCTGCCAGCCGCAAATTGGCACCAGGGGGGGGGGGCGAGGCCCTCCCTACGGCCCCTCGGCCAACGAAGACGGCCGCAGGGTGGGTGCCAACGTGCACAACTCGGACCTTAATACCTGAAGGCGCCAACCAACTGCCACCATCCAGTGTTTTCCTCCACCATGGCCCCCAAGGCCCTGAGCATGCCCCGCGGAGGTCCTCCAGATCCCCTCCCTCTTCCTCTCCCTCTCCTTCTCCCGCTCCCGCTCCCTCTCTCTCTCTCACTCTCTCTCTCTCTCTCTCTCTCTCTCTCTCTCTCTCTCTCTCTCTCTCTCTCTCTCTCTCTCTCTCTCTTCTTCTTTTCTCTCTCTTCTCTCTCTCTCCCTCTCTCTCTCTCTCTCTCTCTCTCTCTCTCTCTCTCTCTCTATCTTCTCTCTCTCTCTCTCTCTCTTCTCTCTCTCTCTCTCCCATCTCTATGCGGAAGGAATGCCGGAAGAGCGCAGCTGCAGTGGGAGCGGGGAAGGGAGTGAGAGAGAGAGAAGAGAGAGAGAGAGAGAGAGAGAGAGATGAGAGAGAGAGGAGAGAAGAGAGAGAGAGAGAGAGAGAGAGAAGATGAGGGAAGCGAGAGAGAAAGAGAGAGAGAGAGAGAGAGAGAGAGAGAGAGCGAGGTCCCCTTCCCTGGAACGAACGTGGTAGCGACGATTCTGACGTCGGGGTGGCGGCGCGGGCGACGACGTGTCTGACGCTGCTACCGAGAGGAGGAGGATGGAATATGAAGAAGAGGAGGGAGAGGGCGAGAGAGGAGGCGGGTTGCACGTCGAGCATGGGGGGGGCATCACATACATTAAAATAGTTGCGTTGTAAGTGCTGTCATGTTTACATAAGCCAACATAACTTCTCACAACTTGTTACAGCGCAAGTTGTGAATGAATGCATGCAGTTCTATCTTTTGCGCGGTCTTAAGTTGATTTGGCATGTGATTGCATGTGCGGTTACATGTGGCGCATCTGGATACATGATAGTTACAAGTATGACCGCAATTGAGTTGACTTGCATTTAATTGCACCCACTCACGGGGCTTATATCCCTGGTTGCTCGAGTTATATGTCATACTTGCGGAGGTTATATGTTGACATATAACGACGGACCGCGCTTGGACACGAAGCAACCGCAACCGCAACCGCAACCGGGCGACACATTTCAAAGCGCCCGCGGGCGCGCAACCGCAACCGCAACCGGGCGACACAATTCAGAGCGCCCGCGGGAGCGCGCAACCGCAACCGCAACCGCAACCGGGCGACACATTTCAAAGCGCCCGCGGGCGCGCAACCGCAACCGCAACCGGGACACACATTTCAGAGCGCCCGCGGGAGCGCGCAACCGCAACCGCAACCGCAACCGGGCGACACATTTCAAAGCGCCCGCGGGCACGCAACCGCAACCGCAACCGGGCGACACATTTCAAAGCGCCCGCGGGAGCGCGCAACCGCAACCGCAAACGGGCGGCACATTTCAAAAAGCGCCCGCGGGCGCGCAACCGCAACCGCAACGGGCGACACATTTCACAGCGCCCGCGGGAGCGCAACCGCAACCGCAACAGGGCGACACATGTCAAAGCGCCCGCGGGAGCGCGCAACCGCAACCGCAACCGGGCGACATATTTCAAAGCGCCCGCGGGAGCGCGCAACCGCAACCACAACCGCAACCGGGCGACACATGTCAAAGCGCCCGCCGGAGCGCGCAACCGCAACCGCAACCGGGCGACACATTTCAAAGCGCCCGCGGGCGCGCAACCGCAACCGCAACCGCAAACCGGGCGACACATTTCAACAAGCGACCGGCTTCGCGCAACCGCAACCGCAACCGGGCGACACATTTCAAAGCGCCCGCTGGCGCGCAACCGCAACCGCAACCGGGCGACACATGTCAAAGCGCCCGCGGGAACGCGCAACCGCGCCCGCAACCGCAACCGGGCGACACATTTCAAAGCGCCCGCGGGCGCGCAACCGCAACCGCAACCGGGCGACCGCATTTCAAAGCGCCCGCGGGCGCAGCGCAACCGCAACCGGGCGACACATTTCAAAGCGCCCGCGGGCGCGCAACCGCAACCGCAACCGACCGGGCGACACATTTCAACCCGCCCGCGGGAGGGCGCAACCGCAACTGCAACCGGGCGACACATTTCAAAGCGCCCGTGCCCGCCGGCTGACTGATGACTGGGTGACTGACTGACCGTCAGGGGACAGCTCGGGAGACACATTTCAAACCGCCCGCGGGAGCGCAACCCGAGCGCGCAACCGCAACCGCAACCGCAACCGGGCGACACATTTCAAAACGCCCGCGGGCGCGCAACCGCAACCGCAACCGGGCGACACATTTCAAAGTGCCCGCGGGAGCGCGCAACCGCAACCGCAACCGCAACCGGGCGACACCTTTCAAAGCGCCCGCGGGCGCGCAACCGCAACCCAACAACCGCAACCGGGCGACAAACTTCAAAGCGCCCGCGGGAGCGCGCAACCGCAACCGCAACCGCAACCGGGCGACACATTTCAAAGCGCCCGCGGGAGCGCGCAACCGCAACCCAACCGGGCGACGCATGTCAAAGCACCCGCGGGAGCGCGCAACCGCAACCGCAACCGCAACCGGGCGACACATTTCAAAGCGCCCGCGGGCGCGCAACCGCAACCCGCAACCGGGCGACACATTTCAAAGCGCCCGCGGGAGCGCGCAACCGCAACCGCAACCGCAACCGGGCGACACATTTCAAAGCGCCCGCGGGCGCGCAACCGCAACCGCAACCGGGCGACACATTTCAAAGCGCCCGCGGGAGCGCGCAACCGCAACCGCAACCGCAACCGGGCGACACATTTCAAAGCGCCCGCGGGCGCGCAACCGCAACCGCAACCGGGCGACACATTTCAAAGCGCCCGCGGGAGCGCGCAACCGCAACGCAACCGGGCGACACATTTCAAAGCGCCCGCGGGAGCGCGCAACCGCAACCGCAACCGCAACCGGGCGACACATTTCAAAGCGCCCGCGGGAGCGCGCAACCGCAACCGCAACCGGGCGACACATTTCAAAGCGCCCGCGGGGCGCGCAACCGCAACCGCAACGCAACCGGGCGACACATTTCAAAGTGCCCGCGGTCGCGCAACCGCAACCGCAACCAGGCGACACATTTCAAAGCGCTCGCGGGAGCGCGCAACCGCAACCGCAACCGCAACCGGGCGACACATTTCAAAGCGCCCGCGGGCGCGCAACCGCAACCGCAACCCGGCGACACATTTCAAAGCGTCCGCGGGAGCGCGCAACCGCAACCGCAACCGCAACCGCAACCGGGCGACACATTTCAAAGCGCCCGCGGGCGCAACCGCAACCGCGACCGGGCGTCAAATTTCAACCCGCCCGTGGGAGGGCGCAACCGCAACCGCAACCGCAACTGGGCGACACATTTCAAAGCGCCCGCGGGCGCAACCGCAACCGCAAGCGGGCGACACATTCCACCCCGCCCGCGGGAGGGCGCAACCGCAACCGCAACCGCAACCGGGCGACACATTTCAACCCACCCGCGGGAGGGCGGACCCGCAACCGCAACAGGGCGACACATTTCAAAGCTCCCGCGGGAGGGCGCACCCGCAGGTTTTCAAGGGGGTCGATTGCGCGTGCACTTGCGCGTAAGCTGCCCGCGGAAGGTGGCGCGTAGGCGCCTTAGTGCGAGGACGAGGATGGCGAGGAGGAAGGAAGTGGAGGGGGAGGAGGAGGAGGATGGTGAGGAGGGGGAGGAGGACAATGAGGAGGAGGAGACGGATGCCGAGGAGGAGGTGGAGGAGGAGGAGGAGGAGGAGGAGGAGGAGGAGGAGGAGGACAATGAGGGGGTGGAAATGGATGCCGAGGAGGAGGGGGACGACGAACGACGACGACGACCAGGACGACGACGACGACGAGGGCGAGGAGGAAGACTGAGCAACAGCAGGGGGATGGGCTGGGGGGGGGGCAGGGGGCGGGGGACGACAAGGAGAAGAAGGAGGAGCCACTGGCGGAGGGCCCGACGACGAGCCCCCGCGTGGCCCGCGGTTCTCCGCCGGGACATTGCAGCGGGGAATCCCTATTCCACGCTGCTGCCTTTGATTTCATTACGTCGACCCCCCGAGGTCTCGACCGCTTCCCCGGGACCGGTTTGTCATCCCGAGTCGTGTTTTGACGGTCCCGAGGCCCAGGAAGGGCCCCCAGGGGCCGAAAATGGCGAAACATGTTCCGTCATGATTTTTTCATTGCTCGAGGGGATTTGGGGATATAGTGGTCGACATATCTACCCTTGGTTAAGCACACATAAACAGTGAGCTGTGGGAGGTCCTCGCGAATGCTGCGGTAAGAGACTTTTTGGGGCAGCGGGTCGCTCTCCGCCAGCTCTGGGCCACCGCGCTTCGGCGCGAAGTACGCCGTCCACCTCCCAGTCCCGGGGCGTCAACGTCCTGAGCCTTTCCGCCCAGACCCCTTCAAGTAATGACAAAAATCATGACGGGAGGTTTTTCGCCATTTCCGGCCTCTGGGGGCCCTTACCAGGCTTCGGGACCGTCAAAAAACGACTCAGGACGAAAAACCGGTCCCAGGGAATAGATCGAGACCTCTGGGGGGTCTCGATCTATTCCCGACGTCGGGGGTCTGAGTATCCCTCGGAGCCGAGCGATACGATTTCCGTTTGCGAGGTATAGGATGTCGCCGGGGCCGCCGCAGCGACTCGCTATCCAGAACCCCCTGACCGTAAACAGCGGTTGGAGGTCCTCTCGAATGATGTCTTGGATAGGCGCTGCCCCCCCCCCCCTCGGCGGGGCCTCCGGCCTGGTCGAGCGCCGGTCCGAGAAATCCGCGCGGAGCCCCGACCTCCGAGCGCTCACGCTCCTGCTTGTGGCGTTGCCTCGACAGGCGGCGGTTCTCGCCGCCGCGTGCTCGTGCGCCAGCCCCTTCGAGGGGCCCTCTCGGCTCGGCTTCGACGACGACGAGGAGTTCACCGAGCAGCTGCGCAGGGCGGCCGCGAGCCGGCGCCACTTCGACGGCGGCCACTTCTCCGAGCCCATCATGCACCTCCGGCTGTTCTGCTCGTGGGCCAAGCGCCTCGCGATAACCCCGGAGGGGCTGCCTCACCAGCTGAAGTGGGCCCGGGCGGCGCAGTCCCTGCAGGAGAGGGACGCCGTGGACCCTCAGAGGATGCTGGCCTTCGCGGGCTACGTCGCGGACGTCGTCATGCGGGCGCGCGAGCTCTGCGATAACCGCCGGGGCGAGGGCGAGTGCGCCGTGCGGCAGGGCCTGCACCGGCTGGTGTGCCTCCTGCGTCGCCCCGACCTGTCGCACGCGGAGCAGAAGGAGCGCGGCGCCGCGGAGAGGCCCCCGCTGCTGCGGGACGTGTTCCAGGCCTCTGCTGGCACGGTGTACGCGCTGCTCGCGGCCGCCTTCTCCGACCAGCTGCTCGTCGGGCAGCACGGGCAGAACACGACGCAGATCGGTGCCATGCTGGACGCGCTCGAGGCGCTGCCGGGCCACAGCGGCGTGGCCTCGCAGGACGCGGTGCTGGTGCCACGTGGCCCTCGTTCGATGAGCAAGTGGGCGATGGCAGACACGCGCGGCGTGAGGAAGATCGCGCAAGCGCTCTGCGGGAGCGAGCCGAGTCAGGCCAGCGGCGCCCAAACGCCGGCTCTCCACTGCGCTGCATTATACGACGTAGGCTGCTCGCGCCAGGTCCCGCGTCAGCGCCCTCGGCTCCGAGGCAGCATGCCGCGCTGGCGGCCCGCGGACACCACCGCGCAAGGCCGCCATGCCACAGCGCGCGGGATCTGAGGCCCGTGCCCTGTCGTCGCTCAGGTGGCACTCTGTGGAGCCTTTGCCGCCGTCGCCTTTGACGCGGACGCCCAGGAGCGCGGGGAGGCAAAGCACCCGGCACCCCTGCGGGCAGAGTGCCTCCGAGGAGCTTTCTGCGCAGCTCACGGTTGCGGGGGCCACGATGGGAGGCCGCTGGGTTTGGGGGCCCCGGCCCTGTGGGGGGCCAGGGCGGGCCGCCGCTTTCGGGGGCCTGGGCTTCCTCACCGGGCCCTGGGAACGTGTACATCGATATCGCCGCGCCGTTTGTTCCGACGCGCGGCCTGCCGTCTTGGGGAGGGCGCCTCGGCCGCCAGGGCAAGCGCCGCCTCGGGCGCAGGGCTTGCCGTGGGTTTGCTGCGGGTTTGCCCTGGTATCCGCTTCGTCGAGTTAGGCACGTCGAGGACAAACGGCTTGGCGACATATAGATACTAGAATTACTCGACGCGGAGATCCCCATATGTGCATTTAGTTTCCTGGCACTTTCCGCTGCGGGCATCCGGGTACGAGAGAGTTTGGGCATGAGTGGGGGTTGAGTATGAGAGTCTGAGTGCGGGTGAGTCTGAGTGCGAGCGAGTCTGAGCGAGTGTGACTGAGTCTTGGTGTGATTGAGTCTACTCGTATGACTCCGAGCTTCGTGTAGGTGTATCTGAGCCCGAGTGGTCTGAGTATGAGCGCGAGCGATTCTGAGTATGAGTAAGCCGAGAGGGAGCAAGCGTGAGGACAGAGGAGAGAAGGCGACAACGAGACAGGTCTTTCCTTCTTCTGCTGCGTCCTCCTTCGTCCTTTGCCGTCCTTCCTCATTCTCCTCCTCCTCCTCCCTGGCGGCCATCCTTTCCCCCTCCACCCCACCTGCGTCCTCCTCCTCCTCCTCCTCCTCTCAATCTTCCTCCTCCCTCTCCTCCTCCTCCTCCTCCTCCTCGCTTCTCCTCCCCAAAGTTCTCCCTCCTCCTCCCTGGCATGTGTCCCCCTCCCTGGCGGCTCCTCCTTGGGGTGCTCACATGCGTGAAATGATTGCTTTATGGCGGCGACCATGAGGCTCTCCAGCGAGAGAGGCCAGAGGCAAACCGTCTGAGACATCCCCACACCTGCCGCGAACGGGGAAGTGACATACACCCTGACGGCTCCCGGGGAGTGTTGAAACCATCACTTCGCTCGAGACATCACCACCGTCTGCTTTGAAAGCAGAGCATGCTGGGCACCCCAGCGCGCAATCCGCCGGAGACAACCCCACGATCTGAGCGCGAACAGGCCCATGAGAACACCCTCGCGGCTCCCCCTCGAGAGCGTTGAAACCAGCGCCTCGCTCGAGACGTCCTCGGACTAGGCCCTGAGCGCAGACGATTCTGGCCACCAACACAAGCAAGCCGCCCGCGAAATCCTCGCAAGCTGAGCCCCTTCTTTGGGTGCTGAAGCCAGCGCCTCGCCCGAGGCATCCTCGAAATCTGCGTTGGACGCAAACGAGTCTGGCCACCAAAACACGCAAACCGCCCGAGTCATCCTCGCAATCTGGGCCCCCTTAGGGTGCGAAAACCAGCGCCTCGCCCGAAACATCCTCAACATCTGTTCCGAAAGCGGAGGATGTTGGGCATGCACACAGGCAAACCGCTTGAGACATCCCCACAATCTGGGCGCTGACGGATGAGAGAGATACCCTTTGGCGCCCCCCTTGGGAGTGCTGGGACCAGCGCCTCGCCAGAGACATCCTCAACCGGAGAATGCTGCGCATGCAAACAGGAAAACAGCCTGAGACATCCCCTCAACCTGGGCGCGAACGGAGAAATCGGATCCCCCCTGGCGGTCCCGCTGAGCGTGCTGGAAGCAGCGCCTCGCGTGGGACATCCTGAGCCCCCCCTGAACGCAGACGAGCCTTGCCAACAACACAGGTAAGCCGCTCGAGACGTCCTCGCAATCTGGGCCCCCTGGGGTGCGACAACCGGTGCCTCGCCCGAGACATCCTCGAAATCTGTTCCGACAGCGGAGGATGTTGGGCATGCAAACAGGCAAACCGCTTGAGACATCCCCACAGTCTGGGCGCGAACAGAGAGGAGTGAGTTACACCCTGGAGGCCCCTTCTTGGGGGTGCTGAAACCAGCGCCTCGCCAGAGACATCCTCAACTCCGAATCCGTCGTCATCATCATCATCAGCAGCAGCATCATCAGCATTATCATCATCATCATCATCATCATCATCATCATCATCCTCATCATCATCATCATCACCATCATCAGCATCATCATCAGCATTATCATCACCATCAGCATCAGCATTATCATCAGCATCATCCTTTTCATCAGCATCATCATCACCATCAGCATCATCACCATCATTGTTATCATCATTATCATCGTCAGCCTTATCAACATCAGCATCATCATCATTGTCATCGTCGTCGTTGTTGTCATCACCATCGTCATCATCATCACTATCAGCATCACCATTACCATCGTTACCATCATAATCAGCAGCATCATCATCAGCATCATCATCATCGTCAACACCATCAATACCGCCATCGTTACCGTCATCGTCATTTTCATCGGCATCATCACCATCATCAGCAGCATCATCATTATCATGGTGAAGAGAAGGAGGGTGTGTGAGGAGTCGGCGTGGTCGGAGAAATCTCAAGAATTCCACGTTTGGCATAAGGGCATTACAAAAACCCGTACAAACGACAAGCCGATTAGTTTAACACAGAGATAAGCGCTCGGAGATCCGCGCTGATTTCAGGATCGGCGCTGGACCCCCCTGGCGGCGCATCTGGCGGTGCCCCTGAGGCGCTCTGCGCGTCAGATAGGGGGGTCAGCGCTGATCCAAGAGGTCCGCTAGAATCTTCGATTTTGTTTCTAGTTTCATGCATGCGAGGAGGTTGCGTCATCGCGGTACGCTGGTGCAGGCCGTAACATTGGATTCCCTGCCGCTGTGTCTCCTCGTCTCCGTGACCTCAGCAGCGCCCCGCGGCTCTGCTACATGGCCTCGGGCGGGTCCCAGAAGTTCCCCGTGGCCGGGGTGGAGTTGCTGCGGGCGACGTCACCGTATGAGATCGAGTTCAGGCTCGTCAAGTCGTCCGTTGCTAAGAAGGGACTGCCCGGCATCATCGGCGAGCAGAACCCTTTGGGCTTCGCTTGCCACGTCCCCCGCCCAGACGTACCTCTCGGCGCCGACCATTTCGGCTGCGTCGCCTCGAGCCTCTTCCTCATGTCCGGCGCCGTCCGCGCGGGCGGCGCCTGGGGGGCGCGTAACTGTGGGGCGATCAATTTGTGGAGGACGATCAACGGAAGCATGTTGCCAAATCATTTTCAGATGTCTAAAACATGTGTTAAACATGTTTTAAACATGTAAAAACATGTTTAAAACATGTTTAGACAATTCTCGTGCATTTTAAACACATTTTAATTCAATGATCGGACTGTTGAGTTGTCCATTGTCGTGGCATCCACAACGATGAATGGGGAGGGGGGGGCAGCGATGGCTGCCGAAAAGGGGCCCCTGAAGGGGCCCTTTAGGGCCCAGAACGGGGCCTTCAGGGCCCCACAAGGGCACACTTCTCCCCTCCACCTCCCCCCCCTCTATCCCCTCCCCTTCCGAGGCGGGAATTTATATACATGACCACCGCCTGGAGGCTCGATTTTCGGGGACCTCGGCAGGCGGTGGATATGGACGTGTTCGGGCCCCCGGGGGCCAGCAGATGTCCACATCCGCTGCCCGCTGGGGCACCAGGACGTCGGTTCCCAGGCGGCGGACATGGACAAGTCCCCGCTTCGCACCCGTGAGCTCGCGCCCCAGGCGCCACGGCCCTCCACGCGGAGGAGCTGCTGTACGCGCTGCTGACGCTGTGCCCCGAGCAGCTGGGGCTGCACCTGGGCCTCGTCCTCGGGCCCGGCGGCGGGGGCCCGGGCGCCTCCCGCCCTCTCCTCGCCGGCGTCTCCCTGCAGAATCGCCCCGTGCTGTTCACCCACCGGCCGTCGCGGGCGACGAACCTGCACCTCCCCCTCCCCGATCCCCCCTTCCCCTCCCCCTCCTCCCCTCCCCCCCTCCTCCTCCCCCCCTCCTCCGGAATTTCCGACGGGACGTGGGTCGGCTAAGGGCGAGGCGCAAGTGTCGGTGCCCGGGCGCCATCAGCTACCATGTTGGCATCTCCCATCTCCGCCTGGGGAGGGTATGCTGTATCTCTGGTGGTTGGGCCCAATGTTTTCACTTTTGTGGTGGGCTGTCAGTTCTGGTGCTTATTGTTCATCAATGGAGCGTTCAAAGTGCTGTCATGCTCACCGTCTGCTTCCTTGTTGGGCAGCCGTCGGGCGCGGCGTCTCACAGCATTCAGTGGATGTTTGGTCTGGCAGTTTCTTGTTGTGTATCGAGGGACCTGCAATAATGGTGAAGTCACAATCCTGTCAGCGCTCCCAAGCTGTGTATCTCGGGCCTGAGTGTGCAATGGGCTTGTCACAGTTTCGGTTGACATCGCAACACACAATATTGGTGGGTTTCTCAGTTTGTCAGTTCATGTATTTCGTATTGTTCGTGCTGCGGGGCTTCCTCGTCTCGTCCGTCTTCTGAGCAGGGGAGAGAGCTTCTCTTCAAGACTTTGTCTTCTGGTCATGCTCATGCTCGTGCTCCTTCCTCCTCCTCCTCCTTCTCCTCCTCCTCCTCGCTCCCCGCCCGCGGGCGCGGGGGCGGCCTGTTTCGTGCTGTTCACCCACCGGCCGCGTCGCGGGCGACGAACCTGCACCGTTCCCGTGCCTTGGCTCCCCAGACCCCTTCGAGCAACGAAGAAATCACGACGGGAGGTTTTTCGCCATTTTCGGCCTCTGGGGACCTCTACTGGGCCTCGGGGCCTTCGAAAAACCGACTCGGGATGACACATTGGTGCCGGGGAGTGGGTCGAGACTTCGGGGGGTCGACGTCATTAAACAAAAAACATGACGTCGGGGGTCTGGTCTGCACCGTTCCCACGCCCTGGTTCCGAGGAGCAGGAACGGCGCAAACATGAATTTCGGCCGAGCATGCGATTCACACAAAAAACTTCCCCCCGAGGAGTTGGGCCGGCGCCTCTGAACCAGAAAGTTGGCCCAGGTTCTAAAGCACGCTCGCCCTCCGGCATCAACCGAAAAAGTTGGCCATGTTTGTTCTGAGAAACTTTCGCAAGGCCCGCACTGGCGTCTTGACTCATCATGCTTCTTGATCACGCGCTCGGCTGTGGATTTTCGGAGCCCCGCGTGGATTTCTTGGATCAGCGCTGGACCCCCCAGCGCTTCCGGCGCCGCGCCACGGAAGGGGGCCCAGCGTTATGATGTTCCAATTTGCTTTAGTTTTGATAGCCCGAAAGAATTTCGAGCACCAAGAGTTCCGAAACTTGAGTTTCCACGTGTCGGGCCGTGGGCGGCGATATTCGTTCGATGCTGTGTCGGTGCTTTTCTGGATGCTCGAAATCACTTTTGGGATGTGGCCTTTAAGTACGGTGGGAGAAACATAAGGCCAGCGCCGAAAGCTTACGTTTGTGAATTCGTGTTTGCTTCTGCTTCTGCACGGTGCCGAGGCGCGGTGCCACGGCTGCGCGACCCCGCGGGTGGTTTTGTGCGGTCCGGAGGAGGCACACGTCCCCGCGGTGAGCCGATCCGGGGGGTCCTCCTCCTCCTACGAGGCGTGTGGTTTTCAACACGGGAAAGCAAAGGTGCCCTTGGGCCTGGTGGTTCCCGCCACACTCAGGCTGTACAGTGAGCTTGGGGATCTCATTGCAGTGGACCCCAGCCTGGCTTGGATCCCACACCTTTCGTTCTGCAGCTGTGAGCGTAATGGTCTGGACGCCGGTCGTGCCCATGCAAATTTCAGCACCGGGGGTGTCAACAATGTGTGCCCACCCCGTTCCGGCCGAACGTCGCCAATCCCGTTGCAGTGCCATCCCTGCGCATTGCCAGTCCACTGTGTGCCATTGCATCGTGTAGCATAGCATTTCAAGGTTTTCCCCTAAGAGGGGGGGAAAGATGTTTTGGGCATTTCTGTGCGCAGCGCCTCTTTTAGGGAATCCAGTGGTACAGTGCCTTTGCTGCCACTGTGTTGCATAGCGCGCGCATTGGTGGCGCTGTTTGTTTCACCCTCTCTCTTTTCTTGGACCTGCCTCTTTGGAGGCAGGCCAATCCAGCATCCAGCATCCTCCTCCTGCCCCTCCCCCTCCCCCTCCTCCTCCTCCTCCTCCTCCTCCTCCTCCTCCTCCTCCTCCTCCTCCTCCTCCTCCTCCTCCTCCTCCCCCTCCTCCTCCTCCTTCCCCTTCTCCTCCCTCCTCCTCCTCCTCCTCCTCCTCCTCCTCCTCCTCCTCCTCCTCTCCTCTCCTCCTCCTCCTCCCTCCTCCTCCTCCTCCTCTCCTCCTCCTCCTCCTCCTCCTCCTCCTCCTCCTCCTCCTCCTCCTCTCCCCCGTCCTCTCCTCCTCCTCCTCCTCCTCCTCCTCCTCCTCCTCCTCCTCCTCCTCCTCCCCCCCTCTCCTCTTCCTCCTCCTCCTCCTCCTCCTCCTCCTTTATCTCCTCCTCCTCCTCCTCCTCCTCCTCCTCCTCACTCCTCCTCCTCCTCCTCCTCCTCCTCCTCCTCCTCCTCCTCCTCCTCCTCCCCTCCTCCTCCTCCTCCTCCTCCTCCTCCTCCTCCTCCTCCTCCTCCTCCTCCTCCGCCTCCTCCTCCTCCTCCCATTATTCCTTTTCCTCCTCCTCCTGACCGCGAGGTCGTCGACGTGGATCTGTGCTTTCGATAAAGACGAACGAGCGAAGCACACCCATATACCCACAGGGGTGTTCAGAAGGAAGGAGACTGGCTATGGTCAAGTCGGGCATGTCCCTCTACAGGCGGAATGTTCAAGAATAGTAAACAAACACTCTGGGGGCGATTGTCCGATTATTGTTGGGCTAATTCTGGATATTCTGGCACCTTTGTTTCAGTCCAAGCATCCGCCTGTAAGAGGACGTGCCCGACCCAAGGCCATGGGTATGGATGCGGGTTGTCGGACCCCCGGGGATAGGCTCCGGTGCGAGCGGGGACGGCCCTCCGACAGCACGCGTACAGCCTGCTTCGTCCCCCCCTGTGGGTGTGGGTGTGCGCTGTACGCTCGTCGTGAACATCGGGCCGAACGAAAGGGGGGGATAGGGAAAGGGTGGGTGCGAAATCTGCTGCATGCAGCGAGTTTCGGCCCCGCCGCCGAGCCCATTCCTCGATGCATGAGCGCCTCCCGGCGGCGGGCGGCGCCGGGAGTATTAGCTACGTGAGCTGATTCTCCCCCCCCCCTTTGCTACCCCCCCTTTCGCCCAGCCCGAGAAAACGTTCTCAGGAAGACAACTATCGGGCTGGGAGGATGGAGTTGGGAGAAGTGAGGATGTCCCTACCTGTAGGCGGCCGAAGGTATCGTTCACTGCATCCGGGTGTTATTTCTCATGACACTCATCCTCCCAACCCTTTCCTCCCAGCGCGATAACTGTTCTCCTCAGGCTCAGGGTTGCGCACATGCAGGCCCCCCCGACAGGCATCCCGAAGAGCTCCAGCTGGCCCCAACAGCCCCCGGAGTAGTTCGGGGCGCCCAGGGTGCCTCGAGCGCCGCAGAGTACCTACCCTGGGGGTCTGTTGAGACGTGTTCTGGCCAGCCGGGACTACCTGGAGGGGCTGCCCATCTGCGAGCTCGAAGGCTCACCATCCGTGTTCTTGGCATCGCTCGCACGTGTGCGCTTTTTCTCGGCGGGTACCATGGAGGAGCATCCTGGATCATCGGGCGCACAACAGACGCGCGCGAAACCGAGACAGGCACGGGGACTGGGCGTCCGAGCGATGGCAGGTGTCTCGGAGGTTGACGGGGCCCCCGCCCTGCTTCGTCGCTCAGCGACCTGCCTTGCACTTCGGCGCTCGAGAGGAGGCGCCGCGGCCGCGTTTTAGCTGCGGGCCTTCGCCCGCCCGGTCTGCGCCACGGATCGTTCTCACTGCAGGGGTGCACAGTCAAAGACGCCGAAACAAGGAACAGCTTGGGTTCGGGAGGAGCTCGATGTTCCTTGGGTCCCTCCATGGCTTTTCCTCCAGCCCTTCTCTTGAACGAGAAGGCGGCTCTGGGGCCTAAAAGGGGCTTCGTTCCTTCTTCCAGCGGCCCGACTGTGTTGCTGCTGAGGGTCCTGCCCAGCCCCCGGATGCTTCTTGCCCACGAGGCTGCCGGGGCTGGCGACGATCCAGCGCCTGAACGCCGCGCGCAGGCCCCTGCGGCGCGCGCTCGGGGACGGGCGGCGGAGGGCGCCGAGTGGGCAGGACGTGTTGCTGTGGGAGGACAGGTCGGCGGGGGACGCGCTGCGGGAGCTCATCTCCGAGGAGCAGATGGAGACCACCCCCACCCAGAAAGCCCCGTGGGGTGGAGTGGGCGACCCGTGAGCCCTGCAGACACCCGAGGCCATGATTTTTGCAGGACGTCGACCCCCCGAGGCCTCGACCCCTTCCCCGGGACCGGTGTGTCATCCCGAGTCGTTACCTGACGGTCCCGAGGCCCCGTGAGGGCCCCCAGAGGCCGAAAATGGTGAATAACCTCCAAAGCCTCCGGTCGTGATTTGTTCCTTGCTCGAGGGGGTCCGGGACCACCGCCACCCCCAAAAAAAAACCGTCGGGTCGCGTGGGGGACCCGCGCGCGGTGGCACGCCCGGGCGCCACCCAGTGCCCCACGAGACGTTCGGCGTGCCGCCGCCCGCGGGGGCGTCAGCCCTCCGCCCTGCCCGGCCGGTTCTCAATGCCCGTGGCCCCCAGACCCCCAACGTCGTGATCTCTTCATGGCGTCGACCCCCCCCCCCCCCGAGCAATGACAACAATCACGACGGGGGGGTTTTCACAGTTCGTGGCCGCTGGGGGGCCCTTGCCGGGTCTCAGGTCCGCCAAAAAACGGCGCAAGATGAAAAACCGGTTTCGGGGAGTGGGTCGAGACCTGTGGGGGTCGACGTCTTAAAGAAAACAATCATGACGTCGGGGGTCTGGGGATGTCGACCCCCAGAGGTTTCGACCCCTTCCCCGGGACCAGTTTTTCATCCTGCGTCGTGTTTCGGTAGTCCTGAGGCCGGGCAAGGGCCCCATAGAGGCCGAGAGCTGCGAAGAGCCTCCCGTCGTGATCTCTGTCATCTCGTCGAGGGCGTCTGGGTCTCCGTCCCCTCCTCGGGCCGTCGGCTGGGTCGAGGGCGCCGAGGCGCTGGGCACGCCCGTGGAGCCGCTCGACGTCTGGTGGTGCGCGCACGAGCCTGGGTCCCTGGGGGTCTCGGCGCTGCCCGAGGCCGCCGCTCCCGCGGGGGAGGGCAGCGGCGAGGGCGCCGACTCCGCCGAGGCCGACGAGCCGCACGGCGGGGCGCCCGAGCTGCTCCAGGCGGGCCCGCGTGCAGATCGGACGCCGTCGCACCCGGACCCCCCTGGAGCCATGCGGAGATCGCGGCGGGAGGTTGTTCTCAGAGGAGGCGGGTCCAGACCCCCATCGAGCAAGGAGAAATCACGACGGGAGGTCTTTCAGTCTTCGGCCTCTCGGGGCCCTTCCTGGGCCTCGGGACCGTCAACAAAACGACTCAGGATGAACAGGTCTTGGGGAACAGGTCGAAACCTCTGGGGGTCTGGGGAGGTACCCATGCCGCTGCCCTTCCCTCGTGTTTGGGCCTCTTCGGAGGCTGTCATCGCCACCGCTGGAGTCGCCTTACAATTCTGGTCCGAACGCACCCAAGGAGAGGTCCGGGGAGTAGCGGCATCGGTACGTCCCTCCCCGGCGCGCGAAGTGCGTTAGGATTGGCCCCCATTACCCTCCCGGGGGCCCCAGCGCCGATCCAGGAAACCGTCGCGGACTTCCGACAGTTTGTGTCTGTGCAGCACGCTGGACAATTTGCTTTTCGGTTGCCCCGATTAGCCTCACGCTGGTGCGGACTGCTTCTGCCTCGCCGCCGACGAAAAAAGTGTCTGTGCAGCTGGCTGTCCCTCCGTCTTGCGTGGAGACGAAGCTTCGTGGGCGAAGCGCATATCCGTAGCCGCGGCCTCGCTTGGACCGCGACCCCGCGGATACGGAGCGTTTTTGTCGCGGATGCCCCGCGCGGGCCGTATCTGCGCGACCGCGTGTTCGCGGCACTGAGCCCCAGAATCCAGATCGCGACCGCGACGGCACGGATGCGGACCTGCTCGCCGCTCGTGGAAGTCAGGTACTTTTTGGTTCACGGTGCCCCCAGCTTTCCGCTCCACTCCAGAGCCCCTGGGCCTCGTGGTGGGGCGCCCTGGAGGCCGTGGGGCCCTGCCGTGGAAATCCTGGGGGCACACTGGGCCAGGGGCACTTCCAGCAACGCCCGAGAAAGGTCGTGAAGGGCTGGGCGTTGAAGTTGTTCAGCCACGCGCAGAGAGGGGTGATTACGGGGGGAGGCGGGAAGGCTTCCTAGAACCCCCCCCCTGTTTCTCAGAAGGCGCGGGCGTCGTTTGCAGATGTGATGCCTGCGTCTTCCAAGAAGCAGCCTCCTTCCCAGGGTCCCAGACCCCCGACGTCATGTTTTGTTCATAGCGTCGAACATCCGAGGTGTCGACCGATTCCCCAGGACCGGTTTTTCATCCCAAGTTCTTTTTTGACGGTCCCGAAGCCCGGTAAGGGCACCAAAAGGCCGAAGTCGGCGACAAAACCTCCTATCATGATTTTTCATCTTCTCGAGGGGGTCTGGGTTCTAAGAAGCCTTCCCCCCTCCACAATGACACAATATGAATACTACTCTCCTCTCTACCCTGATGACGTCCAGAAGATCTCCGGCCCCCCTTCCGCGTATTGTTTTAACACAGGATTCCCGGGACATGGGTTTTCGCTTTGTTTTGTTATCAAAAGGTTGTTCCCGCTGAAGCGCCTGCGTCATTTCTGCGCCCCTGGTTGTTCCAAGTTGTGCTCCCGCTGCAGCGCGGGCGTTTTCGGTCCTTCCAGATAGGCCCCCAGAATTTAGAAACTGCCTCCCGAAAAAAATATCGGATGTGATTACACATTCGGTGTCGCTTCGTTGTTTTTTGAGGCCGCAGAAGGGGCGTCGTCGTTTTCAGGAAGCACCAAGCGGGAACCCCGTTTCTGCTCTGAGAAGGCGACGTTGGAAGCAGAGCCAGCGGGTGCTCTCCATCAGCCCCGCCTTGTGTGGAGCTTTTCGGGGAGCCCAAGGAGCTAGACGTGGAGCCACGACTCCAGACCGGCCCAGACCTCTCGCAGACGACCCATTTACCCTCCAACGAACCCCCCGCAATGCCACGACATGCTGTGCGGTGTTGCGTTCTGCGCCGCTGTGCGATACCATGCTCTGCGTTGCAATGCGTTGTGAGGCAATGCTTCACTACGCAATGCCACGCCATGTTATGGCATGCTACGCTCTGCCGTGCTCGTCTACGCCATGCCATGCCGTGCTCTACCATGCATCGCGCACCCTCTCGCTCGCGATCGTTGCCCTGCTCGACATCCGACTGTGCGAGTAGACGCCGTGGTAGGGATGGGAGGGAGGGGTGGGACGTCAGATACGACGCGAGCGCATTTGGGTTGCCCTACAGTGGGGGCCCATGGCAAGAAACACCCTGCTTGCCTCCAGGGTGCCCTGGGTTTCTTGGGTTTCAAAGGTTTTGCCTTGGAAAGCGTGACGTTCCCATGCCAAAAAAATATATGGCCGTCTCAGGTGTGGGTTTCTTGTGGGAGGTTCCTCGTGGACTGGCCTCCACTGTACGACGCGAGCGCGCCTAGCCTGCCCTGCCCCCCTCTGCGCGCCGCCGAGACAGGTCGGGGAAGGCCCGCGGTTGAAGCTGGTGGGGAAGGTCGAGATCCCCATCCGTGCGGCCGAGAGGGCGGCCGCGGAGAAGCGCATCCGCCGGCTGGGCGGCCCGCCCCTGGAGCGGCCCGCCGCCACCGGGCACGGCTTCGCGTGCCACGGCCTCGGGGTGCCCCCGCCGATCTCACAGCGCCCGCCGGCCTGGATCGCGGGAGGAAGAAGGCAGCTGCCCACACGCCTCGCCCCGGGGGGAGGCGGGTCCCGAGGGACAGGGGCCCTGAGGTTTCTCGCCGCCCTCGGGCTCTCGAGGCCTTCCACGGGCCCCGGGCCTGTCAGAAGACGGCTCAAGATGGAGAGCTGGTGCCCGGGGGGAAGCCCCCGGGGTCCAGGACCCATTTCCCTCAGGGCACCTTTCCCCCATGCTAGCGAAAAAGGTACCTACACCGCTACCCTTCCCTCGCTTTCCCTTGTGTGCGCCTCCTGTGAAGCCCTCGTCGCCACCGCTGGATTCGCCTTGCGATTCTGGTCAGAACGCACTCAGGGAGAGGTCTGGGGAGCATCGGTATCGGTACCTTCTGGATTCCTCATTCCTGGGAGATTGCTTGCGCGTTGGGAGCCTGTGGCTTGCGGCTTGCGGGCAGGACTTGCATGCGCGTCCCACGGCGTCTTGGAGTTTCGGGCTCTGTTCCCCAGCAGCCAGGGGCGCAGTGGACATAGACAAAGATGCGGCCCAGAGGCTCGATTTCACCAATGTCCACCGCGCCTCGGCCTTGTGGCGCCCCTTGTCAGAAAGTCCAGGACGCAGTGGATATGGATACAATGTTGGCCGCATGTTTCTCGGACGCTGTCGTCGGCTCCTCGAGTTTTTTGTTGCATCGGATTGCGTTCCAGCAGCCCCGCCTCCCCAAGCAGCCTCCCCGCGGTGCGCGAGTCGTCCCGAACGGCCGCCGACGACCGGAGGCGCAGACTGCCCGAACCTCATGGGTTGCAGCGACCTTTCGCTGGAGTGACCTTCTGATGCGGGCCAGCGGGGGGGGGATCCTCGACCGCTGGTGTGCGATGCGACAGCAGCGGCCTGCGCGCCTGGGTGTGGCCCTCACTGCTCTCGGCTGCGCGCACGGGGGAGTGGCGCGAGGCTGGCGGCCTCGGAGGAGCCGGAGGGCTTCTCAGAAGGCCTGGGCCCTCTCAGCATGGGAGCTGCTGGTGTGTGGGTTTGTGACGCTGGCATGGTTTTCAAGACGGCTCCTTCCTCGTAAAAAGCGTCCCGCCTTCTCTGAAGGCCGCCGCCGCCCCCCTCTCGCCACCCCCTTTGTGCTCGCCACCGAGATCCCTCCCCGATCCCATCTCGATCCTCGTGGAGACCCTCCTCCTCCTCCTCCTCCTCCTCCTCCTCCTTCTCCTCCTCCTCCTCCTCCTCCTCTTCCTCCTCCTCCTCCTCCTCCTCTCGATGCTCCCTCCCGTCGTTCGCCCTCCATCCCGCAATCGGCGCGCGGTCTTGTCCCAGCCCCTCGGCACCGCCAGCAATCAATAGGCCCCCGCCTCAGCTCTAGAGGCCCAGATCTCCTCGCGCCATGAGAACTCACGACACGGTGTTCTTCTCCATGTTGGGCTTCTCGGGGCCCTCCCAAGACCTCATGACCGTCAGAAAACGGCTCGGGATGACAGACGGGTTCCCGGGAACGCGTCGACGCCCCCAGGGGGCCACGTTTGGCGCATATCTTTCGATGCGGATGATGCGGAGGTCCCCCGATGTGAATTCCATCTCCTGGCACTTCCCGCTGTGGGCGTCTAAATGCGAGAGCCTCAGCCTATGGCGACGGAGCGCTCCCCGGCGACCCCCCTTGGAGTGCCCAAGTGCTCTGGCTGCTACCTCGGGATGACCTGGAGACCGGAGAGAGACGAGTCGGGGGTGCCCACACCCAGCGTTTCGCTTGAGACGTTCCCACGGTCTGGCCGCGAACGGGTCAGTGCAGCGTCCCTTCGCGGCTCCTCCCTGGGGTGCCCAGGAGCTGTGATTGCCACATCGCGGTGGTCATGGGGCTCTGAAAGGAGAAGAGTCGGGGGTGCTAAATCCAACGTTTCGCTCGAGACATCTCCGCAATCTGGCCCTGAATTGACAAGCGTCCCCCTTCCTGGCGCGGGGCGCCCAAGTGCTATGCCTGCTTTATCGTGGGGATCACGCTCCCTTCAAAACAGCGGAGTCGGGGACGCCAAACGAGCGAACCGCTCGGCACATCCCCGCACTCTGGCCGCGAACGAGGACATGCAACACCCCCGTGGCACCCCCTGGCGGCTTCTCCATGGGGTGCCCGTGCGCGATGCCTGCCACGTGGCGGTGACCACAGAGCTCTCGCACGAGATGAGTCGGTGGCGCCAGGCGAGCGAGCCGCGCGAGACGTCCTCACGACCTGTCCGCGAAGGGGTGCACGTGTCCCCCTGCCTGGTGGCTCCTCCGTGGTGGAGTGCCCGGAGGCCACGCCTGCTGCGCCGCGGTGATCCTGGGGCTCTGAATGGAAAGAGGCCGGAGGTGCACAACGAGCGCCTCGCTCGAGATATCCCCACAATTTGGTCTCGAGCGGGCAGGTGTCCCACTCACCAGCGGCTGCTCCTTGGGGTGGCCGCGTGCCACGCCTGCTGCGCCGCGGTGACCGTGGGGCTCTGAAGGAAAGGGATCGGACGTGCCAAACGAGCGCCTCGCTCGAGACATCCCCACAATCTTGCCGCGAACGGGCATGTGTGCCACGCCTGCTGCATGGCGGTGATCACTGGATTCTCAATCGGGGGCTCCAAACGAGCGAACCGCGTGAGACATGCCCACAATCTGGGAAATATCCCCCTCACTGACGGCTCCTGCTTGGGGCGCCCAGGTGTTGTCTAAGCTTCTACATCGCTGTGGCCATCAGGCTCCCACAAGAGAGGAGCTGGATGCACGAGCGCCTCGCTCGAGACATCCCCACAATTTGGCAGCGAACGGAATGTCCCCCTTCCTGGCCGCTCCTCCCTGGAGCTCCTAAGCGTTACGCCTGCTGAATCGCGGGAGCCATGCGGCTTCGAGAGGAGAGAGGTCGGAGGTGCCACGAACACATCGTTGGAGGCATCACCATGATCTGGCCGCGAACGGGCGAGCGTCCCCCCCCCCACTGGCAGCCCCTCCTTGGGGTGCCAAGCTGTTGTGCCGTCTTGATCGAGTTTGTCATGCAACCCTCAAAAGCGACGAGTGAGGGGTGTTGCACGAGCGCTTTGCTCGAGACATCCCGCAATGTTGACCCGAGCAGGGAAGTGCCCCTCTCCCTGGCGGTTCCTGCTTGGGGTGCCCAATGGCCACGCCTGATACATCGCGGTGACCATAGGCGACTCCGAGTGTGGGAGCGAACGTGAGTGTGTCTGAGTGTGTTTGCGTTTGTGTATGTGTGTGTGTGACAGAGTGTGAGTACTACGCAGAGTATGAGTTTTTCTGAGTGTGAGGGGCCTGAGCGCATGAGTCTGGCTGTGACTGAGCATCTGTACATAAAAAGGGGGTCTTCGTGGGACTGAGCAGAGGGTGAGTGGTCTGTGTGTATGAATTTGGGTGTGCTATGAGTGGGTCTGGGCTGGTGGCCAGGTGGTTCTGAGTGTGGGTGAGCTGGGTCACAAGCTGGTCTGATTGTGCAGTCTGGGTATGATTGAACTACAGTCGTGGCGCTGAAGAAGGAACCCTTTTCGTTGGGGCGGGGCTCGGTGTTCCTTGCTTGTTCTGCAGTGTACCTTCGGTCCTCCTGAGGTTCCCATGGGAAATCGAAGTTCAACTTATGGAAAAAAAGGGGCCTCGCTCCTTATTTAGGGTTCCTTAGGTCAGCGCCCCGACTGTACAAACTGATCTGATTGTGTAGTCTGGGTAGGATTGAACTGCTCACACTTCAGTCTGCTTTGAGTGCGTCTGAGCATTCAGAAGTCTGTGGGTGAGACTGGGCACGCTTGAGTCCGAGCGCGAGTCGGCTTGCGTGTCGGCGGGTCAGAACACGAGTAAGCATGAGCGCGGAAGGGAGACGGCGGGTGAGCAGGCGGAGGCGTCACATGGATAACAAGAGCCCCATCCCAGAACGTAGGGGAAGGGCGACTTCGAAGGCCTGGGGAGCGAGGTGTGCAGAACTTCCTCCTCGGCAGCAGGCGGGGGGAAGCCCTCGAGGGCCCGGAGGCGGGAGGGCGAGGACCCGCTGCACGGTGCGAGCGCTGCGCTCCGCTGGAGGGGGAGCCTCGGAGTATGCAGGGCTCCCCGCGAGGGGCGTGGGAGGCCCAAGCCCGAGACAGGCCGCCAGTGTCGGCCCGCGTGCAGCGATCGGCTAGCTGCATACGGGACAGCCACTCCTGCCCAAGGCCGCTCGTCATCGTTTCCTCACTCATGGTTTCGCCGACCGGTGCGGGCCCTCGGGCCCCCCCTCCCCTCTCCCCCTTATGATGGTGCAGATCGTGGCTGTCTTCAGGCGCCTTGTTCGAGCAGGTGGAGCCCATAGGACACACTGTTGCAAACAGTCGCGTTAAGCAATGGTCTGGAGCCAGACCCCCTCCTCCTCCTCCTCCTCCTCCTCCTCAACCTCCTCCTCCTCCTCCTTCTCCGCCTCCTCCTCCTCCTACTCTTCCTGCTCCTCCTCCTGCTCCTCCTCCTCCTCCTCCTCCTCCTCCTCCTCCTCCTCCTCCTCCTCCTCCCCCTTCCGCCCAATGTCGAAAGGCCGAATGAGCAAACGCTCGCCGCTCCTGGATGTGGCCGCGAGGGCGGCTTCGCCAGCGGAGGGCTGGCGGAAGGCAGCAGGGCAGCGGCGTGCCCCCCCAAGTCAGACGCCCACGTGTCTTGATCCGGAGCCTCTCTGGAGGAAGTCGCTGGAGCGCGGTGCCCAGCTCGGATTGCCGGGACACGCACGGGAGTATCTTTTCTTCAATCGGGGAACGAACGATGACATAAGCACAATAACTCGGAGGTCCGCGCGGATTTCTCGGACCGGCGCTGGGGCCCCCTGGCGGCGCCTCCGGCGCCGCCCCTGGCGCGCTCCGTGCGCCAGGGAGGGGGGTCCAGCGCGGATCCAAGAAATCCGCGCGGATCTCTGAGTTTTTATGTATATGCCATTCTTCGTTCCCTTTTACGAGGCAGACGCGTCACTAACTAGGATGATTGGTTCTGTCGTTTGCCCGCAGGAGTGCGCAGATCACCGCGCCTCGCGCTCCGGGGTGCGCGCCAGAGAGCTGTTCTGTCCCAGTTGACCGCGGAAGGGCGCGAGTGGTTCGCGCAGCCACGAATCGCCAAGTCAGTTGGCTCATATGTTCCCTTGACGCAGTTAGTTGTGCTTCCGTCAGAGACCTCTGCATCCTCCCAGAACTCCAGCGTCGTGATGCTTCACTGCGTGACCCCGCCCCCGGGACCAGATTCCCACAGCGAGTCGTTTTCGTAGTCGGTCATGGGGCCCAGCACGGGACCCCCCGTAGGCCGACAATGGCCCAACATCGTCCGTCGGGGTTGGTTCGCAACCCCAGGAGGTCGGGACTCATCCCCCTCCTACGGCATAGATGTGATGCCTCACTGGGTTCCAGCATCCTTGCAGTTGCTCGATGTTCCGTCCGAGCGCGGGCGGGCGCCGAATGGGCAGGAGCTAAGGTCCCGAGTGTGGCGAGGGCTTTCAAGACTGGGGCAGTTGCCTGGAGCACTACGAGGAAACGTGCCACTTGGACGTGTTCTCCCCCGCGGCGGTAGAGCAAGCAAAGGCACTGAGTTCACCGGCCTTGTTTCGTTGCTTCGAGAGTGGTCTGGGATTTGGGTCGTGGGCAGAGTGCAGAGAGCATCTTATTCGGAGTGGTCACCTTTCATGGGCAGATGAAGACACTCAGCTGCTTTTGTGCGGGCCAGGCTCTGCCAACGAGGAGGAGGAGGAGGAGTGTGCAGAGCAGGACAAGCCGGCGTCCGCAGGACACAACGTGGAAGCAGCTTTTGCGCTCTTGGGCCAAGGCCTCAATACCGTGTGGGAGAAGAAGGGAAAACGCACAGGCGTGCCGGCCACTAAAGTGTTGGATCATGTGCTTGAGATCGTGCCAGACTTCAACGTGCGCAACACACCTTTCAAGAAGTTTGCACGTATGTTGGATTCCGCTGCGAAGAAGAAACCTTGGCCTTTTCGAGTCAAAAGAAATAGCAGAGGGGACCTATTGATTGACATCGAAGGTCCTTGTGGCGACTTGGACATCAAGGAGGGTGTGCCAGCTGAGCGAAAGTTTCCGGAGATCGGGAGGAGGTCAAAGAGTCTGGCGAACCAAGTTCCACGGGCGTTAAGTTCGGAAGCAGCTTTTGCGCTCTTGGGCCAAGGCCTCAATGCCGTGTGGGAGAAGAAGGGAGAACGCACAAGCGTGCCGGCCGATATCGTGTTGAATCATGTGCTTGAGATCATGCCAGGCTTCAACGTGCGCAACACACCTTTCAAGAAGTTTGCACGTATGTTGGATTCTGCTGCGAAGGAGAAACCTTGGCCTTTTCGGGTCAAAACAAAAAATGGAAGCTACCTATTTATTGACATCCAAGGTCCTTGTGGCGACTTGGACATCAAGGAGGGTGTGCCAGCTGAGCGAAAGTTTCCGGAGATCGGGAGGAGGTCAAAGAGTCTGGCGAACCAAGTTCCACGGGCGTTAAGTTCGGAAGCAGCTTTTGCGCTCTTGGGCCAAGGCCTCAATGCCGTGTGGGAGAAGAAGGGAGAACGCACAAGCGTGCTGGCCGATAAAGTGTTGAATCATGTGCTTGAGATCAGGCCAGATTTCAGAGTGCGCAAAACACCTTTCAAGAAGTTTGCACGTATGTTGGATGCTGCTGCGAAGGAGAAACCTTGGCCTTTTCGGGTCAACAGAATTGGAAGCTACCTATTGATTGACATCGAAGGTCCTTGTGGCGACTTGGACATCAAGGAGGGTGTGCCAGCTGAGCGAAAGTTTCCGGAGATCGGGAGGAGGTCAAAGAGTCTGGCGAACCAAGTTCCACGGGCGTTAAGTTCGGAAGCAGCTTTTGCGCTCTTGGGCCAAGGCCTCAATGCCGTGTGGGAGAAGAAGGGAAAACGCACAAGCGTGCCGGCCACTAAAGTGTTGAATCATGTGCTTGAGATCATGCCAGACTTCAAAGTGCGCAACACACCTTTCAAGAAGTTTGCACGTATGTTGGATTCTGCTGCGAAGGAGAAACCTTGGCCTTTTCGGGTCGAAAGAAATGGAAGCGACCCATTGATTGACATCCAAGGTCCTTGTGGCGACTTGGACATCAAGGAGGGTTTGCCAGCTGAGCGAAAGTTTCCGGAGATCGGGAGGAGGTCAAAGAGTCTGGCGAACCAAGTTCCACGGGCGTTAAGTTCGGAAGCAGCTTTTGCGCTCTTGGGCCAAGGCCTCAATGCCGTGTGGGAGAAGAAGGGAGAACGCACAAGCGTGCTGGCCGATAAAGTGTTGAATCATGTGCTTGAGATCAGGCCAGATTTCAGAGTGCGCAAAACACCTTTCAAGAAGTTTGCACGTATGTTGGATGCTGCTGCGAAGGAGAAACCTTGGCCTTTTCGGGTCAACAGAATTGGAAGCTACCTATTGATTGACATCGAAGGTCCTTGTGGCGACTTGGACATCAAGGAGGGTGTGCCAGCTTAGCTATAGTTTCCAGGGAACGGGAATGCGTTCCCAAGTCTGGCGAACCAAGTTTCAACGGTGTTTAGTCGGGAGGCCGCTTGTTCGCTCAAGGAACGTGCCATCTACCCTCTGATAGCGAAGGGCATTTCTGGCCCTATGTCTCCAGTGCGCGTGCATGATGCCATGATCAAACTCGATCCATCGTTTCGCGTTGCGGAGACACCTTTCAGAAAAGTTGTCACGCTATTGGAAGAAGCTATCAAGAAAGGATGGGCAGTCTGTACCAGCAAGCTGGGAAGGAAGATACGATTGGGGGTCAATGCTGATGGTCTGCCATGGGTGAGCTGAAGCTTCCCGCGAACGGGAACGGGCCCTACAGCATCTGGCGAACCCAGTTGCTGCAGCGGTCCGCTCGTCAGCCGATAGTAGGAGAACGAACAATGACACAAACATAAAAAACTTGGAGGTCCGCGCGAATTTCGAGGATCGGCGCTGGAACCCCCTCCTTGTGCGCGGAGCGCGCCAGTGGCGGCGCCAGAGGTGCCGCCAGGGGGCCCCAGCGCCGATCCGAGAAATCCGCGCGGACCATCTGTTCGTTCCCCTAGATACAGCCGGCCTTGATTGGACAGGACACGCGAGAGGACACAAGACCCTTCCGAGGGCCACATTGCCATAGGAATGCAGGAGACATGGGTCGCGAGACACGGGACACAAAGGTACCCTTGATTTGGCAGGGTCGACCTTCTAATCCGGGCCGACTGTAGGTCAGTCGATGGGTCGTGCCGTCACCTTTCCGACAGCGGCGACGCCACAGCCGTGGCCGCAAGGGACCGGCACACGGCGGGGCCGGCCAGGCTCCCACGTGCACCGAGAGCGAGACGGGCGGGCGGCACCCTGCCCCGTGCTTCGTCGCGCGGAGCGGCCAGCGGCGCCGCAAGAAGGGCGTGAGGCCATCGCCAGCATCGCCAGCTGTGATAATGATGTTGATGATAATGATGATGATGATGATGATGATGATGATGATGATGATGATGATGATGATGATGATGATGCTGATGCTGATGCTGATGCTGATGCTGATGCTGATGCTGATGCTGATGCTGATGCTGATGCTGATGCTGATGCTGATGCTGATGAGGATGAGGATGAGGATGAGGATGAGGATGAGGATGATGCTGATGAGGATGAGGATGAGGATGAGGATGAGGATGAGGATGGGAATGATGATGATTATGATGATGATGCTGATGCTGATGCTCCTGATGATGATGATCGTCATCGTCATCGTCACCATCATCGTCATCGCCATCGTCATCACCACCACAGGCTACCACTGCCGCGGGCGCAATTCGGCAGCACAGCATGCGAGCCCTGTCGCCCTCGGAACTCCGTCCCTGGAGGGCATCAGCCGCGTGCGCTGGCGTCGATGTGCGCCGAGGTATGCCGATGTTACGGCCGACCAGCGTCGATCCGCGTCGATGCCCAGGCGCCAGCAAGATGGCACGGGATGCTCCCATGAGCTGTCACGCAAGGTGTGAGCGTGAGGGCCTTCTGGCCCGAGCCCCCTTCGCCTCGGCCCCTCCCCCCCAGCTGCTCCTCGGCCCCACAGCCCAGTGCGCCGCGAGGCTGCACTCCCACGGAGCCCCCGGCGCGCACGCCTTATGGCGTCACCGCGGCCATCGCCTGCCTGGTGCTGCCTGCGGTGGCTCTCGGCAGCCCCGGCGTGCCAATCCAAGGGGGTCAGAGGAGGGCGAGTTGAGACAACAGTGGTTGGCCTTCGGGGGGGCCCATCGTCGCCCTGGACGCAGCAAGGGCGGCGGAAGCAAAACGAGGCCGCCTCCGGCGGCGGAAGCCGGCGGAAGGCCAGCGGAATGTGGCGGAAGTAGAAGATGCGCCCCCAAGTGGTGAAAACGTTTTTGGGTTCAGAGTTTCCGGAACCCGCCATGTGTATGCGTAAACAAAAACAGGTGTGTGTGTGTGTGTGTGCGTGTGTGTCTGTGTCGCATTTGTTTACAGCGCCCGCGCCGATAGTGGAGCCCCGCCCCCTCCCGCTGCACCGCCACCGCAGAGTCGCGGTCCACACCGTTCTGACATCTGGACGCCGGTGGGCCGTTCCTGTTCTCGCGTCTTTCCCTTGCTCATGCATGGGCGCTGGCCGCCACGTCGGCAGATCTGTCAGGAGGGAAAAAAACACAGACTCAATTAATCCTCCATTCCCCAGAAAATATAGGAAAATATTGGAAGTGGGGGGAAGACGAAAACCAAACAAGAAATAGAAAGAATATGGGGGATCCTGTTATCTGTATCTGTTCATTTGTGTGCCCCAGGGCCCCTTCAGATCTGACCCGAAGGAAGGATGCTGCTGTCGGCGTGTCGGGGCCACGCGGCGATTGCGGCCAGATCCTGGGCCGGGGAGGAGCCCCAGGCCCTCGTGTGCTCCCTGCTCTCGTCTCCGCCCGAGCAGCGCCGACGTCGGGAGCTGATGCCCGCGCGCACGTGCATCTCCAGCACGTCCAGGCCTCGGGAAGAGTTAGCGAACACTCGTACCACATTCATCTGTGGACGCCTCCCCCTCCCCACGATGTTCAAAGTTGGCGGTGGGTCTGATGAGCTGCACTTCGACCGCAGTCTCCCCCGCGCGTGCCAACTTTGAGTTTGGGGGGCAGGGGGGGTGTTCACTAGTTGTTTCCCTCTACCGTCGCTGTGACATCGCAGTCGTCTCCCGTGCTCAGTGGTGAGCTGCCGCGCAGATCCGCCGATCCGCCGAGCCAGGTCGGGCAGAGCGGACTCGCTCCACATTCCCCAACCAGGCTTTGCCTCACTGGTTCCTCGGTAGCAAATGATGGGAGCCTGGTATACCCTCTTAATTCTATATTTAGCGTCGGCTAGCGTCGATTAGCGTCTGGGTGTGGGTGAGATAGCGCCGAATTAACGTTGATCAGCGTTGATTTAACGTCGATGAGCGTCGAGTCGCAAGAGCCTGCAAGACGGTGTAGTAGACTCCCATGAGTTGCCACCGAAGGGTTCGCATTCGCTTGTGAACGAATCCGGTGGATGCGGGGACTCTCTCCGCTGGCATACTCCCGGGTACCAGGAGATCCGGCGGGGTATAGGGCCACGAACCATTGGGGTTGCCCTGGATGGCGCAAGCAATGCCTAGCAACACCAGGCAAGACAAAGCAAGGCCTCGCAATGCAGCAACGATCCCAAGCAAAGCAAAGCATTGCCAAGCCTGTCCAAGCAAATGCCGAGTGATGCTTAGTAACGTCAAGTAATGTCAGGGGTTGTCTAGCCATACCGAGCAATGCTAAGCAATCCCTAGCAACGCCAATCAAAGCCAAACAATGCAAAGCAATGCCATGTACTGGTTCCCAACAGCCCTGCAATGCCATGTACCGGTTCCCAAAGCAATGCACAGCAGTGCCAAGCAATGCTCTGCATTGCATTACTTCTGCAGTACGCAGAGCCGACTTACACTGCTCTGCTTTGCAGTGCTTTTGGTTCATCGTTTATGTATGTTTCTACCTGGCGACCACGGGCCTGCAACAAGGGATCCGACAACATTGTCGCTTGTGGCCCTTGTCATGATTTGGGAGGCTCGGAATACCGCCTCGCACCAGGCACCCACGACTACCCCTCGAGCGCGCATCGGCGGCGCCCAGCCGCTGGACGCCCCCCATCCAAGCCACAGGAGGAGCCCTGGGAGTGCCTGCTCGCCCTCCTCCGCCGTAGCCGCTTTGGCCCAGGATGGCTCGCGGCAGCGCTGCGTATGCCCACGCGGTGGTCCCCGCCCTCCTCTGCCTGGCGCTGCAGGGCTGCGCCCCCGAGCAGAAGCCCCCGAGGCCCGCGGCCGCGGCCGGCGGCCGGCGGCCCCCTGCGGCGGGCAGGCCTCCGCGGCGGCCGCTGTCCCTGGACGACCGCCTGAGGGCCATACGGCTGTTCCTGGAGGCGGGTGGCGCCGGGCGCTGCGACATCCCCAGGGTCAGCGCTCGGGAGCTGGACTGGGCGCAGTTCTGCCAGCGCTTCCGGGGGCAGTCCCTGGTGCTCACGGGGCTGGCCTCGGGCCCCGGGTGGTCCAAGGAGGCCTTCCTGGAGGCCCACGGGCGCTGCGACGCGAAGGCGAACGATGGCTTCTTCGACGCCAGCCGGACCAGGGAGGTCACGACCGTGAGCGACTACCTCGGCAGCAACGCGTCGGACACGAACATCTTCCTGGTCGAGCGGCAGGCCGTCGCCCTGCTGGGCACGGCACCCGCGCCCCGCCTCTTCGAGGGCTTCAGCCACAGGCCGATCCTGTCGCTGGGCGCGGCGGGTGCCCCGACACGCATGCACAGGCACAGGGGGACTCGGAGAAGAGAAACGCCATCAGCATACACATGGTTCGTGTCTAATGCTTCGAAAGGTGTTGTGCTTTTGGGGGGCCCAGATCCTCTCATTTCTAAGTGTTCTATCCTGGGCCTCTTCCTGGCCACCAGGGGGCCGGGAGCAATTAGAACCGAGCACGATTAGAAACGAGCACGATTAGAAATGAACGACGTGTAAGCATAAACTTTCGGAGCGCCGCGCGAATTTCCTGGATCCGCGCTGGGTACCCCCCGGCGGCGCCTCTGGCGCCGCCCCTGGCGCGCTCCGCGCGCCAGGGAGGGGTGTCCAGCGCAGATCAAGAGCAATCCGCGCGGGCCTCCACAGGTTTTTATGCTTGTGCCATGCTCTGTTCTCCCAGAGGCACAGAGAGACGTGGCTCCACCTTCTCGCCGGCCGGAAGGCGCGGTTCGGTAGTAACTCATGGCAGCCCAGGCCTCCCGGGTGTGGTCCGAGCAGGTGGGTTCGGTTGATCTCGCCGCATCGCCGATGCATCGTCAATGCGGCTCGATGGTGAGCCCGATGTTCGTCACGCCGACGGCGCCGATGCCTCGCCGATGCATGGGCGATGCGGCGCGATCCTTCGACCCCATCTATTCGGAACCCATTCGGGAGGCTTGTAAGAGAGCCCTGTGTGTTCTCGTAATCCCAGTTTCCCAAGTGCTTTCGCGTGCTTTAACGTCTGGTAGACGATGAGAAAGCGTGTCGATATGGCGTCTACCAGCGCCGATGTAGCGTCGATGTTAGCGCTGCTGTAGTGCCGCTCAGCACTTACTAGCGTCGGCTTGAACCCACCCGCAAGGGCCAGCGAGACGACATGGGAGCAGCGCATAAAAACGGAGTCTTCTTTTCCGACATTCGCGCGTAAGCTGCCCGCGTAAGGTCGCGCGTAAGCGCCTTGGCCGTAAATGCAGCATGCCGTGCATGTGGCCCGCGTAAACCGCCGCGTGAGGTCGCTATGCCACCTCGCGTCAGACCTCTTTTTGATTGTCGCTCATGGGATGAGGAGGCAGAGGAGGATGATGAGGAGGAGGAGGCGGCGGCTGTGGCGGAGGCGGCGCCAAAGCAGAAAGAGGCACACACCGCGGCTGAGGAGAGCAGGAGGAGGAGGAGGAATAGGAGGAATAGGAGGAGGAGGAGGAGGAGGAGGAGGAGGAGGAGGAGGAGGAGGAGCCCCCCCCCCCCCTGATCTGTCACAGAGGCGTGGTGGCTGGGCCGCAACGCCTCCGCCAAGGCCGCCCTCCCGAGCCGGGGCGACCCGTGCGCGTCGCTCCCGGCCGCCGCCGCCGCGGCCGGCGGCGGCGCGCACGGGTCCGGGGAGGAGCCGCTCCTGCTCTGCGTGCAGCACGCGGGAGAGACGATGTATTCTGGCGGCGCGCCCGGGTCGGGGGCAGCGTCGGGGAGCGCGAGCGAGGGGGGGAGGCGAGAAGGGGAAGGCCTCCGCAGAAGGCGGCAGGAGAAGGAGAAGGCCTCCTCAGAAGGAGAAGGCCTCCTCAGAAGGCCTCCTCAGAAGGAGGCCTCCCCGGGCACCTGGGAAGCTCTTCTTTTTGCCTTCCCCGAGGGCACGGGGAAGTGCTCACGAGGCGCGAGGGCTTCTGAGAAGGCCCGCAGCCTTCCGAGACGGCTTTCTCCGTCTCAGCTCCCCCCTCGCTCGCCGCCGAGTCAGGGGGGGGAGACAGGAGCAGGGGGGAACGCGCAGACCCCAATCGCCTCTTCTTGTCGCTGGGGGCCTGTCCCCCTCTCAGTAGAGGCGTGGCGCGAGGGGGGCGGGCATCTCGGGAGGCGGGGGGGTTCTTGGACGGCAGGGCGGGGGCGGGCCGCGAGAGGGCCTTTGATGGGCTCCGCGTCTTCATGGCAGACCCCCCCCCCCACGGCGCCATCCCCGCGCGCGCGCCGCCCAGCATTTTGGGGACCTGACGCCGCATGCGACCTGCAACCTCGACCCGTTCGTGCTGGGGGTGGGCGCCCAGGGCCACACCGAGGGCCTCCCCCCGCCGCACGCGGCGGCGCGCCGTGGAGACCTGGACGGCCTCCGCCTGGCCCTGCGGGGCCCGGGCGCCGTGGGCGGGCGCGACGCGGCGAACCGGACGGCGCTGCAGCACGGGGCACTCATCGGGCACACCGCCGCGGTGGCCTTGCTGCTGGACGCCCGGGCCGACCCGTGGCCCGGGGAGCCGCAGCTGAAGGGCCGATTTCCCACTGCCACTGCCATGGGCAGGGGAGGGAGCAGGAGGAGGAGGCGGAGGAGGAGGAGGAGGCGGAGGAGGAGTAGGAGGAGGAGGAGGGGGAGGAGGAGGAGGAGGAGGAGGAGGAGGAGGAGACCTCCCCATCCTCCCTTCTCCCCCGTCCTACGTACCTGTGGCAGTGGTGGTGGGAAACTGGCCCCTCAGCAGCCCCTGCACTCGGCCGCGGAGTCCGGGGACCTCGAGACGGCCAGCCTGCTGGCGGCCGCGGCGGGGGCCGCCTGGAGGCGGCGCGACGCCCTGGGCGGTGAGCCCGTGCACTACGCCGCCAAGGGCGGGCACGCGCCCATGCTCGAGCGGCTGCTCGGGCTGCGGGCCTCGCCGCGTGACAGGGACGCCGACGGCGCCGAGCCCCTGCACTGGGCCGCGGCGGAGGGCAGCGCCGCGGTGCTGCGGCTGCTGCTCGCGCGGCGCGGCGACGTGGGCGCCGCGGCGGACGACGGCGCGACGCCGCTGCACTGGGCCGCCCGGGCGGGGCACGCCGGGCTGGCCAGGGCTCTGCTGCAGGCCGGCGCGAGCGCGCAGGCGAGGGACCGCTCGGGGCTCTCGCCCCTGCACGCCGCGCGCGCCCTCGGGCGCGAGGGCGCCGCCGAGCTGCTGGCGGCCGCGGGCGGCGCGGAGGGCTCCGCGGGCGCGCAGGCAGGCGAGCAGCGCAGGGAGTTCTGAGCGAGGCGTGCTGAGGTCCTGGCGCTGCATTCTGTCCCAAGGAGCGCTCTCGCATGAGTTGGGGCCCAGCGCACCCTTGGCTAGTTACCGGCCCGTTTGCCAGCGCCCCGTTTGCAGGAGGTTGGCTCTCGGGGTCTTGACCCGGGTTTGGGAGCCGCGTGCAGCCGAGCCCGCCAGGGCCCGAGGATTCGAGTGGGGGAACGAGTGCATAACCGTTTTACCCCCAAGATTTGTGTCCTCGTCGAGACTACAAGGAAGACGCCGCATGTGTCATGGATTCGACGAAAAACTAGCTTCAGGCGTAAATCAATTCTGTAGCCGTGTCCCTACTCGAATATATCAAGACACACCAGTTGCCGACACAATTATCCGATATATGGGCTTTTGACCAACGCGGGCCCCCGGGAAAAAGCGACCCCTTCCTCGGGGCCAGCGTTTCATCCCGAGCCGCTCTTCGACGGTCCTGGAGCCCAGCGAAGCTCCCCCGAGGCCGAAAACAGCCCAAGCCCTTCGGCTCGACGTCCCCTCCGTGATCCAGTCGATGGTTGGGAAGGCGGTGTCCCTGGTCTCTGGAGAAGGACCACAGAGGGACGAGCCGTGATGTTGGCCACGCCGCGAGGGTGTCCTTGGAGGCCCTAAGATCGACCTCCCAAGCAGTACTGGCCCTCTGCTGACACGCACCCCCGCGGTGTGGCACTCTGCCGGCTTCCGCGCCAGCTTGGGAGAGCGAGCTCGACAGGTTCGCGGCCGCCGGGATTTCGCGAGCGACGAACATGCGTGAGGCGTTCCAATGAGGGCCTTGCCCTCGAGGATCGATGGAGTTGTCATCTCTTCCTCGGCGGGGGTGCGGCGGAAGCTCGGCGGAAGGCGGCGGAAGTAAAAGATATGGCACTAAGGGGTGAGAACGTTTATGGGCTCAGGGTTTTTTGGGGAGCCGCCCACCTAGATCCATGCCCACGCGCACGATCCCATTCATGCGCGATCCCATGGACACGTCCCGCGCGGGGCATGTGCCCATCCATCGGTACGATCGAAGTGGGTGCAGTACGAATGGGCACGAAGACCGACAGTAGTTCCTTCGTTTTGATGAGGGTTCGCTGTCGGCATCGCCGCGGACGTGGTCCATGTCAGACAGAAGCTCGCGTGCCCAACAGCGGCCGCCGTCGGTTTTGGACAACATTTATGTTCAGCAATCATACTCATGTCTGTCCGTGCCCATTCCGGGTGTCCAGGGCCCAGAGCCGCCCTGTATCCATGGATCGTGCGTGCCAAAGGGCCGTAGATATGGCCTGCCCCGCCCCCCCCTCCGCGACCAGCACTTCCTGTTGAGCTGTTTTCGGAAGGTCACGGGGCTGGCTGAGGGCCCCCAGGGGCCGAAAACGGGCAAGCAGCCTCCGTCTTGTTGAAGAAAGAGTTGCGGACACGTACTACGTACTTCCTCGGAGGTCCGAGCGGATTTCTTGGACAGTCGCTGGACGCTGGACATGCCTGCCTGGCGCCTGCGCGCCAGGGCCAGCGCTGGAGGCGCCGCCAGGGGGGCCAGGACCCGCGCGAGTCGCGAGTCTCTCATGCCAGCTTGAGCGGGTTCACTCCTGAGGGTTCCGTCGAGGGGGGTTCGCTTGATCACGCTTTCCTTGCAGAGGGGTTGACTGCACAGTCACACACACACACGCACAGACCCTCCAGTGGGGCAGGAAGAGGCAGTCCGGGCGCGACTGAGTTCCTTGGGGCTGGGGGACGGGGGGTGGGAGGAGGACAACGACACAGGAGGAGGGCGAACGAGGGCTGAAGGGAAAGGAAGAGCAGGTTGACTCTGAAGTCAACCTGCCTCGAGTGCCGACCCCCGTGGCAGAGGCCTGGATAGGCTTGGTGCAGATACTGGCCTAATTCGTGCGGTAGGTTCGTGTCGTGTCGACGCGGCGGCGGCCGCAGCGCGGGAGTCCAAGGGGCCTACATCCCCCCTCGAAATCAGACGCAAGCTTTCCCAGCGACGCAGCGACGCCCCTGGGCCCCCTAAGGTCAATGTTGACGCCGAAAAATGGCGACTGCCAGTTGTTTGTTGCCCCCGCGGGCCGCGTTGCACGCGCCCGTGAACCTTGAAATTCGGGGGCGAGGGGTGGGATAGAAAGCTTGCGCGTGATTTCTGGACAGCTCCCTGGGGAGCGAAGAGGGTTTCGGATGAAGAAGCCGGAGCCGCAGGGCAGCCCCGGAGATCGTTCCGGCTCCCGTTTTCCGGCGCCGCTGCGGCTTACTTGAGCCGGCAGCGGGTCCGAGAGGCCTTTATCTAAGCGTTTCCCAATGCGCGTGCCTCGGAGCTCTCCAGAAGGTCCTTCGGAAGCTCTCTCCAGGTCCTTCCAGAGCTCTTCGACAGGCCTTTCCACGCCCTTCGGGCGCCCTGCTATCCGGGTTTTTGACCCCACAAGTTTCGAGGAGGGCTGCAGGGGCAGATGAGGCAGATGGAAGGAAGGAAAGGCGTGTCACACGGGCGCGGCCCCGAAGGGCGCAGTCATTCAGGGCCGCGTCTGCTCCACCCCTCCCCTCCGCGCGGCCGCCATTGTCTTTCTCCTTCCGTTGCACGCCGGACAATTCGCGCTTCGGTTGCCCCGACACGCTGGGGCGGACCGCCTCTGCCTCGCTGCCGACGGGAAAGGTCCCTCCCTCCCTCCCTCCTTCCCTCCCTCCCTCTGCCGCTCACCCCCATCCCTCAGTGCTGGCCCCCTCCTCCTCTCCTTTCTTGTTCTCCTCCTATCCTCTCTCTCGCCTGCCGCTCCGCCCTTCAGTGGGCCTGCTGCTGCTCCTCCTCTTCGCCTTCCCCCCCCCCCCGCTCTCGCCCCCGCTCCTCCTCCTCCTCCTCCTCCTCCTCCTCCTCCTCCTCCCTCCTCCTCCTCCTCCTCCTCCCCCTCCTCCTCCTCCTCCTCCTCCTGCTCCTCCTCCTCCTCCTCCTGCTCCTCCTCCTCCTCCTGCTCCACCTCCTCCTCCTCCTCCTCCTCCTCGGCCAAAAGTCCGTAGCCATTTTGGCTCAAGATGGTTTGTTCCACAGGGGAACACGTGGATACCGCTAGTCCGCGGCCAGTGCCAGGGCGCCTCTGCCCGACAGTTTTGTTCCAGCCGACGGGTCCGCCCGCGTTGGCTGCTGCCTGTCGCCGCCCCGCGACTGAGCAGTCTCGGGCGCCCTCGAGTTCCCGCTCATGCCAGATGGGGTCAAGCGCAAGAAGAAGCCTCGTGCCGTACGTGGTGCTAGCGGCGCTGCTGATGGTGATGCGCGTGCTGGTGCACAGCCTGCAGCCGCTGGTGATGACGACGCTCGTTCTCGCTCCAACAGAGGTGCCTCCAGCGAGGGCGAAGAGGACTCCATGGACTCGGATGGCTGGGAAGAGCACATCAAAGGGCTCATTCACGGAGAACCGCAGGCCAAGTTCAACATCTTCCAGACCGAGGTTACCGAGCTCGTCACAGCGTCTGCCAGCAAGGCTGCCTCGTCCGCCGTCGACCCTGTCATGGCCGCCATCAAAGGTGTCGAAGCTGCAGTTTAGCAAGTGCCGCAAACCTGTAAGTCCCAACTTGAAGCGCAACATCGTCCCGAGCTCGAGGCCATGCAGAGACGCCTACAGCTGCAGATCGACACCATCCAGTCGCAGGTCCGAGACATCGACACCCGCACAGAAACGCTGGCCACGGACATGGAGCAGCTCAAGTCCCTGGTTGAAGAGCTTCGCAAAGAGTTGGTGGTCGCAAACCGGCCGCCGCCTCCACCTAAGCCGTCGCCTGGGTTCAGTCGAGCGGTGGATGGCACGATTCTCAAGGTCGTCGCTCCTACCCTCGTCAAGAAGTGTGACGTTCAGGGCTCTGTGGATAAGTGGCTCAAGGACGCAAGCATCGACGGCTTCACCATTCAGGGCGACGACCAAGACAAGCTCTTCACGATCCAGTTCACGGGTGCAGTGGGTATCGCTGGAAAGAAGTTGCTGCCGCTTTATCAGCACTTCGTCTTGCAGGTAAAAAAACAAT